GCTATTATATGATTTAGTATATTAACATAACTATGTTACATTATTATACAACTTAATAATAAGGAAAAATCCTCTGATCGAGCTGCTCCTGGGCACAGCAAATGGGGGAAATTTCCTCTGGCAGGCATGACAGCTTTGGGAGGAAGGGAAGGAAGTAGCTTAAAGGATAAAACACAATCAGTATTAACATATGAAAAATAATTAATGCCCCCAGGGAAACCTTCTTGTCTCCTGTGCTTGCTATTTTGTGACCACACATTGACTACTGCCAGGATGTTTATGCTTTGCGTTTTTTGCTGGTCAAGGTCATCCTTGATACTGTTTTCATCTGACACCAATGTTAGGTAGTCCCTAAAAGCTGAAACAGACTTTGACTACCTATTTAAGCACTTATATTGGTAAAAAAAAAAAAAAAAAAAAACCCACCACGAACTAAGAAGTTAAAGGCCAAACTAGGAAAACATACCTACAGTATATGGACAAACAGTGAGGGTCTTTAATGTATAAAGAGCCTATGCCAAATCAATATGAACAAATTAACATCCTCATAGGAAGAAAGGACAATAGGAATATAAATGAGGAATATTAATGACTGATTTTAAAAACTGTAGAAAAAATGTTCAAAGTCATTAACAATCAATAAATGTAAGTTTTTTCAATTTCAATTGGTGTAAGTTTTCTGGAAGGCAATTTGGCACAGAGTATCACAAAAACTTAAAAATGTGTATTCCCTTTTGCCAAATGATTCTACTTTTGGGAATTTACCTTAAGGAAATCATAGCTATATGCATGTATGTTTATCTTCAAGGATGTTCATTAAAATATTATTTATGATAAAAATTAAAAAGGCTCTGAGAACATCAGAGAAATGGTTGCATAAATTATAGACCATCCAGAAAAGGAAATACCGGACAGTTGTTACAAATTATGTTGAAGATGAATAGTAAATTACAAAATATTTATAATATATCAAGTAAAAAAAGAAAAAGTTTATAAAATAATATGTAGCATATGATCCCAGTTTGGTTACAAAGCTATAGGTATTTATGGGAAAAAGATTGAAAGGAAATATATCAAAATGGTAACGTGGCTATATCAGGGGAATTTTTATTTCATTCTTTTTGTGTACTTTGTTCCAGATGTTTTACAATGGACACGCATTGCTCTTCTAATCAGGAAAAATAATCGTAATTTAAATACAAGATGTACATGTTGGTAAGAAGGCTGCATAGCGTGGTTTGCCCTGAGGCTCTGTACACCCTAGGAATGGCCCTGCTGACTAAAGTAACATGTTAGGGAGGAGAATTTTCAGGGTGTTGCAAAGAATGTTCCAGGCAGGGAGAGGCAGGGAAGCAAGGAGGGCAGCTGGAAGGTTACTGCCCTTTTCCAGGCATGAGGGCAAGTGTCTCATCCAGGACCAGATGTCAAGTCAGTCTCCTCTCCCAGCTTCCCGTTCTTGCCTGTCTTCTGGGGAGAAGACTCCAGAAGATGAGGTCAGAGTTGCCCACTAGCCCCAAGCCCCTGTTGTTCTGTTCTAGCTTGGGTTAGGGTAGAAGGAAAAGGGCTACCTAGCAAGCAGTCTGCTCTTCAGAAGTATCCCCTCGCCCTGTCAAAAAGTTGGGGACACTCTTTTTACCCAGAGGTGACAACTGCAACAAAAGTGTTTCCTGGCTTGACGGCACCGAGTGGCTTTTGTCCTCCATCTGCTCTTCTGGTTGGGTTCTAAGCCCTCTTTGACCCCTTTCTTCCTCCACATGCCCTGTGGAGGCTGGAGTGGCATCCCAGGCTAGAACAGTTTCCTCTTTCCTTACAAGCAGAACTAATCTTTGGATTCTCCCTGGGGCAGATGTGGCCCCAGAAATGCCTGAGGCTGCCTTGCTGGAGTAGCCAGCGTGGCACAGCCCAAATATGTGAGCTCAGAAACCGAGGCATGTCCTCTGAACCACAGCATACCTGGGAGGCAGGTGTGCAAAGAGTAAGACTGTGCACCTTTAGTGCTCACTTGGATGTGCCTGGGCCCCCATGAGCACATCACATTTCCTCTGTCTTTACCTGGGGGAGTTTCCATATGCTCCTTATCTCCCTCTGACCCTCTCTGAGAAGACTGAGTTGACACAGGGGGCTGGAAGAAGAGATCTTTGTGTGCTGGGGATTCTTTGGGTAGGCTGGAGAGCCACCCTGGCTTCATGCCATAGGATGGCTTTGTTGGCCATACACTATAGATTAATTCATGTTCCTTTTAAATCCTGGGATCCCAAAACATCTCAAGTCTCTCATTCATGTTTTTTTTTTCTTAACAGTGATATTGAGACATAATTCACATACCATACAATTTACCTAAAGTATACAATTCAGTGGTTTTTAGTTTATTTATAGAGTTACACAGTCATCACCAGAATCAATCGTATCCCCGCAAATCACATCTCTGTACCCATTAGCATTTCTACCTATTCCTTCCAGCTTCTTCCACCCCAACCCTAGGCAACCCCTAATCTGTTCTCTGTCTCTATGGATTTGCCTATTCTGGACATTTCATATGAATGGAATCATACAATTTTGTGCTCTTTCATGACTGGTTTCTTTCACTTAGCATAGTGTTTTCAGGGTTTATCCATGTTGTATTCATAGCATGTATCGGTACTTCATTTGTTTTTGTGGCTGAATAATATTCCATTGTGTGAATATACCACATTTTGCTTATCCAGTCATTGATGGGCATGGAGGTTGTTTCCACTTTTTGTATATTATAAAGAATGGGGACTTCCCTGGCAGGCCAGTGGTTAAGACTCGGCCCTTCCGCTGCAGGGGGTGTGGGTTCAATCCCTGGTCGGGGAACTGAGATCCTGCATGCCACAAGGTACAGCCAAAAAAACAAAAAAAACAAAAACACTGCTATAAACATTCATGTACACATGGGCATATATTTTCATCCCTCTTGGGTATATATATACCTAGGAGTGATATTTCTGGGTCATATGGTAGCTCTGTGTTTAATTGAGGAACTGCCAGTGTTTTCCAAAGTGGCTGTGTACCATTTTACCTTCCTACCAGTAGTGTAGGAGGGTTCTGAGTCCTCTGTATCAGCACCAACATTTGTTATTATGTGTTGTTTTTTTTTTATTATTATTATTATAACCACCCTAGGAGGTATGAAGCGGTATCTCATTGTAGTTTTAATTTGCATTTCCCTATGATTAATGATACTGAGTATCTTTTCATACGGTTATTGGACATTTGTACGTCTTCTCTGGAGAAATGTCTGTTCAGATATGTCCATTTGCCCATTTTTAAAAATAAATTTATTTATTTTATTATTATCATTATTATTTTTTGGCTGCGTTGGGTCTTCACAGCTGCGCGCAAGCTTTCTCTAGTTGCGGCGAGCGGGGGCTACTCTTCGTTATGGTGCGCCGGCTTCTCATTGCGGTGGCTTCTCTTGTTGCGGAGCACGGGCTCTAGGCGCGCGGGCTTCAGTAGCTGTAGCACGCAGGTTTCAGTAGTTGTGGCGCGTGGGTTTCAGTAGTTGTGGCTCGTGGGCTCTAGAGCGCAGGCTCAGTAGTTGTGGTGCACGGGCTTAGTTGCTCCGCGGCATGTGGGATCTTCCTGGACCAGGGCTCCAACCCGTGTCCCCGGCATTGGCAGGCGGATTCTTAACCACTGTGCCACCAGGGAAGCCCTATTTGCCCATTTTAAAAATGGTTCTATATGGGGTTTTTTTTACTGAGTTGTAGGAGTTCTTTATATACTGCAGGTACAGGTGCCCTATCAGATAGATGATTTGTACAAATTTTCTCTCTTCTGTGCCTCTGTTCGTTTTCTTGATGGTGTCTTTGAAGCACATTTTAAATTTTGGTGATGCCCCTTCTTCATTTTTAATTGTGGTCAGAACAGGCAGAAATGATGAGGGGCAGGTAAATAAACACATTCAAACCGCCTCTGTTCAGCGACAGCAGACTAGCTTGCGGGCAGCCATCACATGGTCCGTGTTTGATAAAACCCCAAAATGATTCCAGACAAAGGGGGAGGGGAACATATATTAGGTCCACAGAAACACCTGAGTTCAGTGAAACAGGTTGGCAGATCCAGGGAGCGATTCTCAATGCCAGGGACCTTGTGGGTGTGGCTGGGAAACCTTCAGCACGCGGTACGAGCGCCCCTGAGGTTAGCAAGAGCAGCCAGCACTGCCGTTTGAGGAGGATGCACTTTGCCCCGTGTCTGTTTGGATCCATGACCGAGTTGCCATGTTATACCATGTCTGGATTTGTATGGAATCACTGGGGGTTTTAGTTTCACAGTCGTGTTGGACGGGCCCAGAGCAAGCTGCTGTGAGATGGGAAGAGCGGCCTCACAGGGAAGAGAGCCTGAGCCTCTCTTGCCGTTGCTCCTTCCAGATGGAAAAGGGGAGGGCCCTCCTTGGACCTAGAAATTCAGACGCAGGACTTCCGGGCCAGCCCCCTCGTCCGCCCTGGGGGCTGTAGAATTCTGATTGGCACCTTCCAGAGACCTACTCTTCTCAGCAAGAAAAGCAGCCTTTGCTGACATCTGGTCCTTTTGGGACACGGATATTTTTATTTATAAAATGATCTCATCCTCAAACAGATTCTTACTCTAACAGGCTTGCTCCCTTTGAGGGTTGCCTCAGGCTCCCAGCTGTGCTTGCTGGCATCTTCTTGTAACCCTGCAAAGGCGGAAGGACCTGGCCTGTGCCGGAGAAGAGAGGAGGGATGCTTGCCAACCAGGAAGTCTACCAGCTCTGTCTTCATGTGCAGAGTCTGAGTTCTGTATTACTCTCCTCCCTTCCTTTATCAACCTCAGCCTGGGAAGAAAAAACTTTCAATTAGCTGCGATTACCCCTGGACTGATGCCCCCGTGAATTACACAGGGAGGAGAGCAGATAAGAAATGGTGCCTGAGGATGCCATGATTCTTTCTTCCCCTCCTCTTTCATCCGTCCCCTGTCTGTTCTCTCAGCAGAAGTCTCCCTTGCTTCTTATCTTTCAGCTGCCCAACATGTTTGGTGACCTTCGGTCCACGTTTATTGCCTTGATGATTGGATCCTATGCCTCCTCAGCAGTCACCTTCCCAGGAGTCAAGGTGAGCGTGTGTACTAGTGTCTGAGCAGAGGCCTCTTCTAAGACTCCTTCAGCGCTCCCAGAAGAGGGAAGTCATTGTGGGTGCTGGGGCCCCCCTTCCCCCAAGCCCCATCTGGGGGGAGGATGCACCTGGGCACCATGGGGGTAAGAAAAGAAACCTGGGGCTTCCCTGGTGGCGCAGCGGTTGAGAGTCCGCCTGCCGATGCAGGGGACACGGGTTCATGCCCCGATCCGGGAAGATCCCACGTGCCGCGGAGCGGCTGGGCCCGTGAGCCATGGCCGCTGAGCCTGCGCGTCCAGAGCCTGTGCTCCGCAACGGGAGAGGCCACAACAGTGAGAGGCCCGCGTACCGCAAAAAAAGAAAAGAAAAGAAAAGAAAAGAAAACTGCTGTGTGGGGGGGGGGGGGGGGGGGGGGGTTGGGAAATGCAAGCATATCACTGCAAGGTGTGACTGAAGGCTGCCTTTGCGTTTCAGGCCTGGGGACAGAAAGGGGGTGAGTGTTTGTCCCCAGTCCTGAGTCTAACTCTAGTCCCCCCACCCCCAGGTCTGTTGTTGTTGGGCTGCATTGCTCCCCACTGCCAGAACGCTGCTGTCAGCCAAGTTGGCTCAGCTGTTTCCCTCCCAGGCAGGATTCTGAGCCCGTGGAAGTCACACAGGGTCAGGATGGAGCAAACACCTCACTGTTCATCAGTCCCAGTTCCCGCTTCTCCCTTCTGTGGCACCAGCACCAAATAAATCCCCTTTCCTGAGAGGTCCAAGGGGGAGAGGCCATAGGGGGAGAGGCCATAGGGCAAGAGGAGGAGGAGTCACAGAAGGCGTGGGCCAGGGGCTTCCCTAGGGGTCCAGTGGTGAAGACTCCACGCTTCCACTGCTGGGGGCACGGGTTCGATCCCTGGTTGGGTAACTAAGATCCTGCATGCCACACAGCGCGGCCAAAAAACAAAACAAAAAGACATGGGCCGGCCACCTGGACTTCGAGGTGCTTGGAGGGGCTGGAGCCAGACGTCTGTGGATTTTAGGGATCCTCGAGTTCCTGGAGTGCAGAGGAGCCTACAGGTTCCCCTTCCTCCTCTTCTCCGTGTCTAACTGCTGGTCCCCTCCCTGGGTAGCTGGGCTGCTGTCTACCGCTACTCTGGGGACTCTTGTGCTGGAAATCAATGGCAATAATGACATTAACAGGCTTGCAGGTTTCTCACCTGTCAGGCCCTGTCCTGAGCCCTCTACCCGCTTGACCCCCACCTTGACACCATGAGGGTACATGCCAGTGTCACACCCATTTCACAGAGGAGCAAAGCGAGACTTCCAACTGTTCATTCCTTGAGTATTTTTTTTGGCACCTACCGTGTGTATGCTTCAGGGTACTAGAGAAACATCAGTGGACAAGGCTGGAGGCTCCTCTCAGGGAGCTGGCCTAGTAACAGATGAGGAAATGAATCAAGAAGTCAAAAACCTCAGCCAGGGCTGTTCACTGTGAGCCAGTGATGTGACAGTGATGGGTGGTCTGGGAGGGCCTCTCCAAGGAGATGACATTTGGTCCAAGCTGGAGGCATTTGGTCCAGGGCGAGCTAAGATTATTGGAATGCAGGTGCCTGACGACCAAACACCCAGGCTGATGGGGCCATGCCTCCCCTCGCAGCTGAGCGCAGGGAGAGCAGGACTGCTGGGTGCCCCTACCCGCTGCCCGCTCCGGCTTCCCTCTGCTAACTCTGCCCTCCGCCCTGCCCTGACTCCAACCGCTACCCCGTTGTGCCTCTCAGGTCATCTACGACTTCGGTGCCTCCTTCATCGTCATGCTCGTGGTCTGGGCTGGCTGCTCCGGGCTGGTTTTCCTCAACTGCTTCTTTAACTGGCCCCTGGAGCCCTTCCCGGGCCCAGAGGACATGGACTACACGTAAGTGGACGTGCGGTCTGCTCCCACCCCTACGCCGGCGAGGGGCCCTGGCAGCGCGACAGACACTCTCCTGTGGCCTCTAGGGTGAAGATCAAGTTCAGCTGGCTGGGCTTCGACCACAAGATCACTGGGAAGCAGTTCTACAAGCAGGTGACCACGGTCGGGCGCCGCCTCAGCGTGGGCAGCTCCATGCGGAGCGCCAAGGAGCAGGCGGCACTGCAGGAGGGCCACAAGCTGTGCCTGTCCACCGTCGACCTGGAGGTCAAGTGCCAGCCCGATGCCGCAGGTACCCGCGTGCGGCCCCCACCTCCCAAGCCTGCCTGAGCCGTCAGCAGGGGCTCCTAAACCCGCACCCCAGCAACAAGGAGGGGGAGGCCGGTCCAGATGTGGAAGCTGCAGCCCCCTCGGGGGGACCAGCTCCCGCTGAGGGCTTTGTGGGTACCATCTCCCTTAATCCCCATTTCATCCCCAAAGAGCCGGTGGCACCATCCAGCCTGCCGTACAGACGAAGGGTCAGCGAGGGTGAGGGACTCACCCAGCTTGTTTCGTACGGCTGGGTGACCTAATTCCTGCGTCCAGCCGTCCACCTCATCCAGCATGATTTGGTCGGCAAAGCAGGGCTCTCAGCCCCACGCGCCCAGCCCCTGGGTGGCGGGTGGGCCGTGGCCACGGCGGTACCGTGGCCACGGCGGTACCACCCAGTTCTCCCTGAGCACCCTCTTCTCCCTGTAGCGGCCCCCTCGTTCATGCAGAGCGTGTTCAGCCCCATCCTGCTGCTCAGCCTGGTCACCATGTGCGTCACTCAGCTGCGCCTCATCTTCTACATGGGCGCCATGAACAACATCCTCCAGTTCCTGGTCAGCGGCGACCAGGACGCAGGTAGGTGGCCTCCAGGCCCTGGGGCGCGGCCCATGAGCAGTGGCCACTCCTGCCCGCCTGAGGTTCAGCCCACTGCCCAGCTGGGCTGGACCAGCAGGGCCGTGAGATGGCAGAATCCAAGGGCCTGATTGTGTGTCAGAGCCATTTCATCACAGCCAGGCCCAACTGTCCTTTCATGTCCCCGTCGGAGTTTCCCGGTTTAGGAGGGAGGAGAGGACTAAAATAACTACGTGTGTTTGGGGTGTGGGGATGTGTTTTTTGTTGCCTGAGGGGGACGGTTGACGTGTGTGTTCGTAAATGAAAACACGGCACAGAACGCGGTACTCCACCTGAGAGCCTGTTGAAAGGCTATCAGTCAAACCCAACGCCAAGAATTCTCCGGGAAACTGCAGGGGTGCCGCGTGGAGAGGCTGGGGGCCGAGATGGGGGCTGGGCTACTGCGGCTGGAGACTGGGGCTCCTGGGCCTGCACAGGATCTGTGCCCTGAACTGGGAAGCAGAGCCAGGTGGAGCCTTCCTCGTGGGTAATCCAGTCCAGGCTTGTTACTTCTGGTAAACAGAACTGATAACCCACCTGCCGCTTTTCCAAGAAAACACACAAGCTGATTAGTGGTTTTGAGTCTACAAAGAAAGTCATTACTTCCTCAGGGCCTGAGCTGAGTCAGCTTTAGTTATCCCTAAGCGGGACAAACACATCTGGTAAATCCTTTTTATTGGCTGTCTCATTGGTGTGCAACATTTGGGTTGGTCCCCCCCCCGGCCCCGCCCACCCTGGGAAGATCTGCCCGGCACTGTACATTTTTAAAGAGGATGAGAAACCTGGCCTTAGCAAAAGGGGAAGGTGACAAAGAGGCACAGATAATGCAGGTGCTACTTCAAAAATGGGTGTTCGGACGTGAAGCAATGTGGGAAAATCCTATCACGCGCCCTCGCAAAAATTTGTAGCAAACGCAAAGATAGGAAGAAAAAGAACCTGTTTAGCTTTGTTTCGTCCAATGATATTCCCCTATATTTCTACCCCAGGAACCCTTTTATTATGTAACATTCATTAAAATCTGTGTGCCACGCTTTGGGGAGAGATGACCTAGCGTGTCTATTTGCCCTCTATTGTAAACCCTGAGGCCCAGACAGGTGGAGACTCTGACGGGTACAGAGAAGGGCCCTCACTGGCCCTTGGAAGGCAAATCTCCCTGCCGCTGAGTCATGGCCTTTTACTCTCTGAGAACTCTTGCTGCTCAAGAGGCATTTTTTCCATCTGTTTCCCGCATTCAAAAAGTCAATTTCAAGAAGTAGAGGAAGTTGGGCCAGGAAATTCGGTCTGCAGCTGACAGGGCATTGGTTTTCCCCATCCTGCTCCTCTGAGCAGCTGTGCCTGACATCACACACACACACACACACACACGCATGCACACACACATGTCTGGCTATCAGGGTCAGGGGGCCAGTAGGTGGACGGGAGACCAGCGCTGGCTAGTGAGATACTTGGGCTGGGTGTGGGGTAGATTCTTTGCCCTCGGAGGGAACAAGGGCAACGAGGCCCAGGTTCTGCCAGGTCTTCTGCACCCACACCGCTTCCCCATCACGGTCCCCCGCAAACACCACAGGCCTGATTGACCAGCCCGCTTGTGACGAGGCACCTGCTGCACACGAGTGAGGCCCCAGCCGGCAGGAAAACGTCCGCAGACACCCGCGCTGGGCACTCTTGAGAGTCAGGGCTTGGTGGGAAATGGCGTGTGAGCTGGGCCCAGAGCTAGCCTGCCTCCATGCCCCATCCCCCTGTAATAACCTGAGACATTTCTGCTGCTGACCTCACTCCTCTCTGCTTTTTCACTTTTGCTTTCTTGATGCAGTGATGGCTACCGGTAAGCCAGTGGGGGCGGGGGACGGGGGATTGTCAGGGAACACATGACATCCTCTCCTAGCCGGTCTGTTCAACTGAGAAACACCTCTCCTTGAACTCCAGACACCCCTCTCGGCCAGACCTGTGTTTGGGGGTGGGGCGGTCAACATTCAGCTTCTGTTTGTCTGAGAAATCCCATCATAATTTTAAGGCTCTTTGAAGATTGAAGCCCTTACGTCAGTGCCCTTGTGAGTGGTGCCTTCCTGGTATATTTCTAGAGGCAGAAAACTGACGGCCAGTCACACACAAAACCTCAGTCCCAGGCGTTGGTAATTTTGTGGTTCCCAAAGTCAGAGAGACTTCCTGGAGCTTCTGGGGGAAGTCACTGTGACATACTGGATTTCGTTAGCCGTTTCTTGGAAATAGGCGAGGACTTTGGAGAAAAGAAATGGGTGGCATTGATTTCAGAGGTTAAGGTCTCCGGGCTCCCCTCATGACCCACAGTGACAAGGGGGCGGTTCTGGAGAAAAATCCCAGAAGGGCTTGTGGGGTCACAGACTCTGCCCAGCGCCCACCCCAGGCCTCTGCCGGCAGCCCCCGTGACCCAGCCCGTCTTTATCCTCAGTGGGCCTCTACACCTCCATCTTCGGTGTGCTCCAGCTGCTCTGCCTGCTGACAGCCCCCGTCATTGGCTACATCATGGACTGGAGGCTGAAGGAGTGTGAAGATGCCCCTGAGGAGCCCGAGGAGAAAGACACCAACCAGTGCGTAGGCGGAGCTCGTGCCCCGGGCCCCGGCCCCCAGAGGGAGAAGCCCACCGGTCAGGTGTTAGGCAGCATCAGGGTGGGTGGGTTAGGTTTTAAAGTTAGCAGGAGAGGCGAAAGAGGGCTGTGCTCAAAGCTGCTCTTGCCCGCGCTCAGCTCAGCACACGTTTTGGTCTGTTGCTTCTGTAAGGAAAGTCTTTTGTATGCAAAAGTTGGGGAGGCACGGAGCTCTAAGAGAGGAGGAGAGAAACCAGAGGAAGGTCTGTGCAGACAGCTATCAAACATCCTGCTTTTAGGGCTGCTCTCCGGTCCTTAGCACAAGTAGTACACCGGCAGACATCCTCAGAGTGGTCCTGTTTGCCTGCAAGGTCTGCTCCACTGGGTGTGAGTAGTAAACGGCTATAACCTTAATACATGTCAATAGATCTGTTCATGACTGTGAGAATTAAGCGAGGGACCGGAGCCCTACTTTACAGAAGGGTTGGGCTCTAAGATCAGAGGATGAGTTAAATGCTGTCTTCTCTGACTCCACCTTAGTACAATAAGCTCCTCTTTACTGTGTCAGGCCCTGTGCCAAGCCCTTAATGCACAACATCTCAGGTAAGCCTCCCAGCACCTCGATGAGTTAGACCCATTTTGCAGATGAGGGGACTGAAGCTAGGCGTCTGAGTGGCTTGCCTGAGGTCACATAGGGAGAAAGTGGTGGGTCTGGGCCTCCCTGCACATCTCTGAGCCCTTGGATGTCATACAGTTGTCCGTGGGGTATCTTTGTGGGTGTTGAGGCTGGAATCAGTCATAGTGAATTCACAGGGAAATAATTACAGAGAATGCTCTGTTATGTAGGTCAGGTCCTACAGCCAGAAGGCTGTTGGTGCCCATTCCAGTTCCGTCTGCCGCATACTCGTTTCTCCTTCACCCCTTCCTGCCGCCCAAGGAGAAATCCACTCACTCCCTTTTTTGGCTTATTGTCTGGCTTAGTGTCAGCTCCCTGCAGGATTCAGGTGAAGTTGGAGCCAGTAGTGAAGGAGGCTTTGCCACATCCTGACCGGGGTGCACTCTCCTTCTCCCTCCCCATCATCGGGCCTCAGTCTTCGCCGAAGCAGCGCAGGGCGTTGACGCCCGTCTCCTCGTGCCTTCTCGCATCCGACCTCTCCACTGAGGTTCACACTCCGCGCTCAGTCCAGGGGGTGCAGTGGGGAGTGTCCCTCGTGCTGGTCTAGCCCCCACAGTCCCTAGCACATGCTTGTGGGTGGTCTCTGAGTCTTGCGCTGTCCACAAGCTGTGACTCCGGGACCTGGCTTCCTGGGAGAGCCCATCCTCCAGGGAGCCCCCAGCTCCGGTGTGTGCTCTGCGTTTCCACAGAGGTGAGAAGAAGAAGAAGCGGGACCGGCAGATCCAGAAGATCACCAACGCCATGCGGGCCTTCGCCTTCACAAACCTGCTGCTCGTGGGCTTTGGGGTGACTTGCCTCATTCCCAACCTGCCTCTACAGGTGGGTATGGGGAGAGGGAGAAGCCAGGTGGGGTATGGGGTGATGAGACTGAAAGGTGCATGATGTCTCATGGGGGAGAGAACAGTGCTAGCTCAGCAAAGAGAACAGTGACTTTTCATTTGTCTAATTCAACCAACCAACCTATCAACCGGCCCGCTGTGATTTACCAGAGGGCCCCCTACCTGCCAGGCTCTGTACGTGCGTGATGCTGGGAGCAAGGTGTAAATGAAACTCAGATTGCCTTTCACGGAAGACTCTTGTCTGTGAAAGTACATCATTCTTCTCGGTCTTCAGGCATCTTGCATACCATGAGTACCGTCATCTTGCCATTTCTGGAACCATGTGGTGTAGTTGTGTGGCTGCTCGTTTTGCATGCGCTCGAACAGCTGAAGTCTGATGTCCAAAGAGCTCTGGCTAGTCTGTGGCGTTGGTGGGAACGTCTGCTCCTCCAGTACAGGGGAGCAAGACCGAAGATCCCTTGGCATCTGGGTTCAAAAGTTTAATTCCTTCTCACAAGATTTCCAGGGCCTTTGGAACCTGGCTTTTGGCAGAGAGTTTGAGAAAGGTAGATTTTGTTACCTGCCTGGCTCCACCCTTAGGTCCACAGAAGTGTTCTGGCTCTAATCCCCAAATGTATGAACTTGGAAGGGACAAAAGTGATGGCGTTACTTCCAGATGGGTGTGGCCCAAGTCCAGATGGTATCTTGGACCAGGTCCAGGAGGAAAGCAAGAGTCCCTTTCTACAAGTGGCCGCACGTAGAAATTCATTGAACATCCAGGTGTGCACCACCCACAGGTGCTACCATGTGTTTGTGCCGACACCGCGTGCAGCCAGAGTAAACCATGGGAGGCTCTACCAGTTCCAGATGGGAGTATTGCTGCATCCCTGGTGCCCTCCCGGCCTCCTGGTGGTGGCCCTCTCCGCAAGACCGGCAGACCCTTGCCCTGACCACCCTTGCCCAGTCGCGGGGCAATGCTCAGTGAGGACAGTCATCTGCTTTGTGTTTTATCCAGTTCTTATTGAAAGGCAGGTTGTGAAAAGGCAGCAAGGCATTTGGAGTGGAAAGCGGAGGCTGCCGAGGGATGGGTGCACGTTCAGGCACAGACCTTTCACAGCACCGCAGAGAGCAGCCCTCGCCACCTCCACTGCCCACATTCCCGGAAACGGGTCTTGGCTGCTGAGCCCGATGGCAGGGCTGTGTGCAAAGAGCAAACAAAGGGTCCTGGGAGCAAAGGAGACAGCTCGTGGCTCTAAGGAATCGTTAACAAGTGCTTGCTAAGCTTGCCAAGCTTGCCAGCAGTGACCTTTCCTCAGGAAAGCAGAGCTAGAGGGGAGAGGGACAGCCATCTACCAGTAGGGCCTGGGTGGCCAGGCAGGGAGGCCTGGGCACAGTCCTCAGGTCCGCGAAGGCAGGAGTGGTGATTAGTGACCTCCTGCTTAGTGCTATGTCCATACGTACACTTAAGAGCAGACTCTAGATGGGGGCGGGATGGGGGGAGCCCTGGGTTTTAGCGTTTGCCAATTTCCGCGGTGCAAGTGCTCTCGTCGTGGCTGATATCAGCCAATACGGTGTCACTAACTGTGGAGTTGGAAAGAGACACAGTAACACACCATCATACGATATTTACAGTAGAGCAAAAAACCTTAAGAGCGGGAATTCCCTGGTGGTCCAGCGGTCAGGACTCCGCGCTTTCGCTGCTGAGGGCGCAAGTTCAATCCCCGGTTGATCCTGCAAGCTGTGCGGTGCAGCCAAAACTAAAAAAATTTTTGAAAAAACAAAAAAACCTTAAGAGCACGGCTAATGGTAAAACAGAATAAAATAATTAGGATGTGCTGGGTTTTGAGTATTCATTAACTTTGTTTTCAACGTACAGTTGACCCCTGAACAACACAAGTTTTAATTGCGTGGGTCCACTCATACTCAGATGGTTTTCAGTGGTAAATACTAAGTACCACGTGACCCGTGGGTGGTTGAATCCGAGGATACAGAACTGTGGATACAGAGGGCCGACTCTAAGTTATATGTGGATTGTTGGCTGCGTGGAGGGTCGGCACCCCTAGCCCCCCGTGTTGTTTAAGGGTCAACTGTAATTTGTTGAATTGTACGTTTATTACAGTTGAACTGTTAGTAGTGACTGTGTTTAACTTAAAATCGGCTCAAAATTCTTGGCAGTTCAGGAGTTGGCCCTGGAAAGCTGGCACAAGCTGACTCCAGGGCGCCAGTACTCCCACCGCTCAGGACCCCAGGAGCTGTGGGGCAAGGGGACAAGGTGAGGCCCTCCATGTCTCTTGCTCAACACTCTGCTCTCCCTCCCTCAGATCCTCTCCTTCATCCTGCACACGATCGTGCGAGGATTCATCCACTCTGCCGTCGGGGGCCTCTATGCCGCTGTGTAAGTCCTGGGAGCTGTGGGTGGCCTGGTGGGTAAGGGAATGACCTGAAGGAGGTTCCTGGTGGGACTGAGGGCCTGAAGGGGGCCGTCTTGCTCACTTGGGGTTCATCCTCTGGCCTTAGGTACCAGGGCTTCTGTCGGGTGTGTAAGGGGAAGGCCATACCTGGCAGGAGCAGGTCAGTGGGTAGACAGTTGGGTGCCCACAAGCCTTGGCATTTAACACGAAGTCAGTTGCCCCAGCCAAGGTGCCGCTCGTTGTTGCCTCGGGGACTGCTGCGCACTCGGGTTCTGAGGCTGCCTCTGGCTGCTCATGGGAAGGGCAGGGGGGTGGGTTCTAGATGCCCACAGCTCAACGGTGACCTTCAAGTGGGCTTCAGCGGCGGCAGTGACGTGAATAACTGAGCCCAGGATGTGCCTGACAGATCCCACCCAGGGCCTCAAAGGGCTGGTTCTGTCCACAGCCTTCTTAGGCCTTGGCTAAAATGAAACCTGCCTCCTTTTCCAAGAGGCCACACATGCCTAAGGAACCATAGTTGTTCCTTCTCCTTGGACCGGGCCTTGGCTCACACACTGGAACCCAAACACCATCCACTGTCTCCCTCTGACCAAAGACTAGCCCGTTCCTCCAGCCGTTCCTTGCTAGGAGTCCCTTCTCACCTCTGGGGCCACGATACCTGACGTGGCCCCAGAATTCTGGCAAAATCTGGCTAAGATTTTGCCAGAACTCTCTCCCTCTCTCAACAGTATCCCATGGGGGTCATTCCAGGTCTGCCTGTTCCACCCCCACCTACCCCCCAGGCCTGGAGGAAGTTGTGGCTGCCCTGGCAGAGTCTGAGGGACTCGTCCGAGGGCTGTGATGCTATGTTTCCGTGATTACACAACGCTCCTCTGGTAGAGGGTGCAGCCAAGCCAGGCCCAGCCTCCAACCTGCTCCCTGGGCCTGGTTCACAAGCTGCAGACTCCTGCTGGCACCACATTTTCCGCGTGGCTTGGCCAGACACCCATGGGCCCCGGGGCCTCATGCTGGTCCAAAAGACAAATTCGCTTTGCAGAACGGCTCAGCAGAAAGCAGTCCAAGGATGGACACCCCATTCCCACCTCTTCTTTGCCACCGGAGGTGCAGCCTGGAGGCACCAGCACCTGGGGCCAGGCTGCGAAGGAGCATGTGGGAAGCCGGAGCATGGCCCCCTGTGGTGACAGGTTCTCTACTGCCCTGGCAGGTACCCCTCCACGCAGTTTGGCAGCCTCACAGGCCTGCAGTCCCTGGTCAGTGCACTCTTCGCTCTCCTGCAGCAGCCCCTGTTTCTGGCTATGATGGGTCCCCTCCAAGGAGACCCTCTGTGGGTAAGAAGGATTGGGGTGCAGGGGGTTATGGGCATCCGCCCCACTCTGCTGATTGGGAGCTGGGAGGCATCACTCGGGGGCTTCTAGAACCCCGGGACAGGCAGTTTGGAACTTTGGTTAGGATCAATTCAGGGACCCCTTGTGAATGGGCAGGAGGGACAAGAGGAGAAGAGTGTCCTTTCTGGACCTGATTTTGGGGTAAATCGAACAAAGTTGCTGTCCCTGCTCCTCCTGCCAAAGGCCCAGATTCTCAACCAGGTGCTGTGAGCTTGTCCCAGTCCCGCCCCCCACCCCCCAGAGATTCAGATCAGTACAGTATGGTGGCCCGGCCTGTGGACAGCTGGGGAATTCTGTTGCTGGAATGTGGAACGACGGGCCCTCCAACCTCTTGAAACTCCTTGTTTGTTTTTCCTCTCCTCTCCTGTGACCTTCTCCCCATTCCCAAACCTGAGAGCGAGGAAGGGGCTGGAACTGGGCTCTGCAAAGACCACAGCCCCTGCCTGCTCCCTCCCTCCCCCCTGCCCTTGATGGCGACTCTCAACTCTCATCCCTGCCTCCCCAGGTGAATGTGGGGCTGCTTGTCCTGAGCATGCTGGGCTTCTGCCTTCCCCTCTACCTCATCTGCTACCGGCGCCAGCTGGAGAGGCAGCTGCAGCAGAAGAGGGAGGATGACAAGCTTTTCCTCAAGCTCAACGGCTCGTCCAACCGGGAGGCTTTTGTGTAGTGCCCACCACCTCGGAACTGTGGCGTCCCGCCCTTGCTTCAGTGACTCAGCGGTGTCCTCCCCACCCCAGAGGACCTCCACGCACCCCTAGGATCCTGTCCTGAACCATGTTGGAGTCCTCGCTCCCTCCCAGGGCCCTGGTCCTGCTTCGGAGCTCTGCGGTGGAAGGATGGGAGAGGGCCCGGTCAGGCGCTTCTCCTGCTGGAAGCAGAGGCGCTGCGGACTTCGCTCAGCCACCCTCGAGGGGCCCTGGAGCCTCGGGGCTCCATGGTGCCTGCAGGAGCAGACAGGAGGACCCCGGGCAGGCAGGCCCTCTCCCCCCAGTGTGTCGAGATTCCGCCTCTTGCCAAAGCAGAGGAGTCTGCCGTCTACTGCCCACCACCTGCCCCTCGGCTGCATGTCCACCAGCCACGCCTGCTGAGGACAAGGGCTTGCACTGTCTGTACCCGCCTCGCCTGGCCCCTCACCTCCTCCCCCGGCCAGTCTGAGCTGCCTGAGGAAGGAAGGACCCGCTTCCTGTTGTTGGTGCTAACTCCTTTGTGATTCCAGCCCCCTGTGGCCTGTCCTCCTGTTCGAGGCCTGTGGAGAAGGCCCCCTGGCTTAAAGCCTGGGGAGGGGATGGAGGGCTGGATGGTCACATGTGGCTCAGGAGCTGTGGTCAGGGCCGAGCAGCAGTCCCTTCCCTCCTCCCTGAGGGCCTGAGCCGGGGGCATGTCTCCACTACCACCCTCTGTCCAGTCTGTGACCTGAAGGGAATTAAAGGGGCACCACACACAAACACACGCATGCGCATGTGTGCGCGCGGGCGCACACACACACACACACACACACACACACACACAGCTGTTTTTGTGGGGGTGGAAGTGAAGATGTGGCTGACAGACGTGGAGGTCCAGGCCCGGGTGGGAAGGTGGATTTGTGAGAGACCTAGGGGTGTGTGTGCATGTGGGTTGTGCGCGCGTGTCCTGTGCATGAGAGATGTGTGTGGGATGGGGGTGGGATGTGGGCGCTGGGGGTCTGCCCTTATCCTTCCAGAGACACCGCGGAGCCAGCCAGGCCCGCAGCAAGCCCAGCGCCCAGGAGCCAGCCCCGCTCAGGGTTGGGAGCTTGTCCCAGGCTGCAGGGCCACAGCGCCCCCTGCTGGCAGACTTTCCAAGGGCCCTGGAGCTGTTTATGCGGGCGAGGCCCTGTTTCCTCCGCCAGGCGGGCCTGGCTTGCCAACCCACCCACCTTGACTGCCCTCAGAAATGTGTCTGAGGCTTCCTGGGAGCTCTGAGAAGGGTGGGTTGATTTTTAGGTGAATTGTTTTGGTGGTTGGTTGGGTTTTTTTTTCCCCTTTTAAGTTTATCAGACTCCTTTTTATAAAGCAATAAATCCATTTTCCTCCTGGTAAGGGATGCCCCTTCTAGCATATCAGTTAATGACTACATGTGCCTGTTTTGAGCTTGAGAAGAAAAGGCAAGACAAGATTTTCTGCCCCAGTCGTACCCAGCGACTCACCGTCTCTCTGGGTGTGATTGCTGTCTCGGGAGGGGCAGTGGGCCAGGAAAAGACCTTCCTCCCCCGCCCCACCCCCAAACAAATGGGGCTTGTGCAGACACCTTAGAAGTGTGGCCATCCCCTCCTCTGCTGCTTATCCCAGCCCGACAGGCTAATCCTGACCCCCTTTCATCCCTGCTCAGACTTCCTGTCACCAGTCAACCATGCTGAGGGTTCTTCCTAAGTTCAGGACACAGGGTGACCCCAGGAGAGCCGCAGGCTCAAAGAGAGCAGAGGCAGGATATGGCGGAGGAACGGGTGGCAACAGGAAGGGGCAGGGGCAGGCCCAGGCCCGAGCCCCTTGAATGCACCTAATCTCCCTAGGCTTCACCCACTCAGATATTCAAAAGCAAATGTTTGTTTTAAACAGACATTTTTTTTTTAAAAAGAGAGAGCCTGGGATCAACATTTCCCAAAGCATTCCTCAGCATGCTAGTTCTGTGAGATGTCAAGGTCATTCTCATTTTTTAAAACAGCGTTGTAGTCAGATTCGGGAAATGTTGAGATAAGGTCAAATGAGCGGCACTGGTGGGCTGTGTGCCTCTCCAGGGGGTTGTCTGTGACTAAGCGATGGCTTTAACCATCACAGCCGTCCTCCACATGGGGCCCAATGACCACGAGCAGCAGGAGCTCTCGGGGTGCTGGTTAATAACAGCCTCTGGGACTTGCCTCTGACCTAGAGGGAAACCGAAGTCTACACTTTGCTAAGTCCCACCTGGTGGTTCTGGCGCCCGCCCCCCCAACATTTGAGACCCACTGATAAAGGAGTGCAGTTTGGGGAAGCGCTGACTAGCAAGGGCCCTTCCAGCTGGGAGATATGTTGAGCTTGTACAGACATGGCCTGTGCTGTTCCCAGCAGTGCCCAGCCCAGCCAAAGTGGGAGCTGCGGCCTCTCTCTCCCACCCACCTGCAGGGTGTGTGCACTTTGGGGGAAGAAGCAGGCATTAAGAAACGAGAGTTCAGGGTGGGAGATAGTCTAGGGCCAATAGTGCGTGGGGATTAGAGGCATGAAAATGGGAGCAGGGTACCAGATGGGTTGGGGACCACAGGTGCCCCCCCACTCCCTTGCCTGTCATTTTGCTCTGACTGTACAGGGTTGATGGGTTACATATTTTCCCATTACCATCACTGGATCATGCTAACAAGCCAGGAGTTCATACTACCCCCCCTAATTTACAGCTGGAAAAATTGAGGCCCAGGGAGGTGGAGTAACTTGCTCAAGGTGAGAGCCAGGACTCATATGTGGTTCTTAGCCTCTAGGTCAGGACATTCCATTCAGAGCAGCAGCGCCAGGGGCCACCAGGCCTTGAGATCAGGGCGAAACAGCCTAAGGGAAGCAAACACAGGCGAGGTGTCTGTTTCTTGGAGCCAAGAGCTTCCTTGGAGAGAGTGGAGTGAGCTCTACTTAATAAAGTCATCTTGGCCCTAGAGGCTGATGGTAGCTTGGGGGAGCAAGTTTCTGGTCGCCCCAAACCCTGAGAGGAGTGCCCTGGGGTGGGGCAGGGACCACATGGCCTCGGCCCTCCATCTTCTTCGTCCTCCTCCAGGCTTCTGGTGGGAAGGAGCTGGAAGTCATGCCCAGCCCTGCGGGCTCAATCAGAGTGAAGAGCGCGGCCAGGCCGGGCTCAGGAGCATGGCCCCGAGCCCCACTCCTCTCTAGTCTCCCTGTACTTGAGTCCAGGTGTTCCTTTGTGGTTAGCTTCCTCCGAGCCCTCCTGGTCTCTGCCTGTGGCTCTCGCTACCTGGGCCTGTACTAGGGAAGGTTCCCACTCTCGTAAAGGCCATAGATGGGGCTGCAGGTTGTGAGTTCCGTTCTGTTTCTCTTTTTATTCCTCTTGTACCCGGTGTCAGCCTGGTGAAAACTTCTCAAGCCCTCCTTGTCCTGGCCCTGGGCTGTGCAGTGTGAGGAGGGCATCCCGCTGCCCTGGGCCCCAAACACACTGAAAATGGGGAGCCATCCAGTATTGGGGGTACGTGTGCAGGACTGTCCCAGACAGCGGCACAAAAAGCCCAGTGGAGTTTTCGATGCATTTGCACATCAGCCTGCCTGAATTTAAACAGATACACACCACCGGGGGCAGGTGAGGCTGTGGACCCCCTGTGGTAAGGGGCTCCTGTCGGAGAACTCTGAGAAGTCTTCTCCGCAGAGTCAGGCTTCCGGGGCTGTTTAATACGGTGCATTCTCGTGGGCTCTGGGACAGTAAGGCGCCTTATCTGTGGGGTCAGGATTAGGAGCCCGGGACCCCCAAAGTGAAGGGATGGGTTTTCCACAGGCTGCAGCGCTCCCCTGGGGTGGGGGTGGGGTCAGGGTGAGCCGGAGGGCTCTGGAAGCCTGTCCCACCCAGGCCCTGCCTCATGCCGAGTCCTGGGGTGAGGACCTGGTGTCTGGAAGGAGGTGCATCGTCCTCCACGTGGGTGGCCCGCCGCAAAGCAGACCTCTCCCGCCGCTGGCACACAACCACCGCCTGGGCCCTTGGTCTCTGCAGGCAGCATGTCCAGCCCCGAAGTTAGTCTTTCTCGGCCTCCCAGGCAGATCCAAGACCAAACCAGGGCCTCTGGCCGCTCCCAGCCCCTCACCCCTTCCCAGAGTGAGATCGTCTCCCTGTGCTGGGGAGGCTGTGAGGGAAGGGCAGAGGTTAGGGGCCCCACCACACATACTATCTCGTGACCTGAAGCAAGTCTTGAGCCTCAGTTTCCTCATCTGTAAAATGGCAATAATACTCTCCCCGGGAGGCTAGGTGGACATGGACGTCAAGCAGTCGCACATTGTTGCACCTGGCACTTCATAGGCACTTAACAAGCGATAGCATTATTTTTATGACCCTGGAGGAATGCAGAGAGCACAGGGGATGAGGACCACCCACACCCACCCTCCCCCGCCCATATAACAGGACAGACTTTAGGCAGCCCTGACTGGGACAGCCTTGTGGCCAAGTAAAGGAAGTGAGGTCTGTTTCTGCTGACCCCTACCCCTCTCAGAACCCCCTCTCTAAGCAAAAGCCTTAAGCAGTTGTCCCCTTGTTCAGTTTTACGTTTTTCACATTTTGTTAAGAGACTTGGCCAAAGCTCCTCAAGCTAACCTCTAACTGGTGGATATCCGGGCACTCTTGACAGTTTTATGCTGAGGTGGGTGACTCAGAGCACAGCTTGTAGGCAGTACCTCCATGCCACCTCCTCGTGAAACTGCTTGGCTGTGCCTCTGTGTGTGTGTGTGTGTGTGTGCGTGTGTGCACACGTGTGTCAAAGTCTGAGGTGTGTTCCAGGCACATCAGGTGTGAATGTGTTTGGAGGAGTGTGTGGGAGCTTGTCTGTGTGCCTGTCTACCTGGACGAAGAGGGAGAGGGTCTCACGTCGCTGAATCCCTTTTGGTGGCTGGAAGGGCCTAGGCAGGCCCCGTCCAAGGACCCAGCCCAGGCTCTCAGAGTGGTGCCTGAAGGGTTAACATGTTCCTGTGTCAACGAGGGTCAGTGCAGTGTCACTGACAGCTCAGCAGCTGACCCTGACCCTTCCTGGCCCTTTGCTGTTTCTAGCACCTGGATTACTTCCTGGCACACAGTAAGCACTTAATAAATGTCTGCTGAAAATGGCTAAGAACTGCTTCCTCCTCGGCCCCTGTGTCTCTTTCTAAGTCACTCATCCCCTTGCCACTTGTCTCTTGCCTGTCACTTGTCTGAAACGTGCTCCCTGACCCCCATTCTCCCCTAGGTTGCACTCATCGCGGCCCAGCTTTGCTGGTGGGCCAGCTTTCAGCAGAGCTGGGGAAGGGACAGAGGAAGGAGCCTCTTGGGTGGGAAGCCCAAGGCTGCTGGGAATTCTGGTTCTAAGGTGGGCGTTCATCCTTGCCCCTTTTCTTTTGTCCTAAGTCAGTGGTCATGGGCACACCTGCTCCTCCTACAGGTTTCCCACGAAGCTGGCCACTGTCCTGCCAGGCCAGGGCCCTGGGTAGTAGCAGCAGAAAAGAAGAGCCACTGGGCTTCCCCAGAGAAGCCCCAAGGAGATCCCCACGGCCAGGGAGGGGAGAGGATGGCCTGTTTGTCTGAGGCCTGGCTCCTGAGCGTGCCGGGCAGAGGGGGCTTGAAGCCCAGGGGAGGGAGGTGGATGGCCTTGGGGGCCAGCTGGGGATGGGCGAGCAGCAGGCCCCCTGCATAGCAGGCAGGCAGAGGTGCTGGATGGATGTGCATGAGGGCTTCTACTCATCAGGATTGTGAGCTCACAAGCTGGGGCGCTGCTACATCCCTTTGCTGTGTCCTTCATTTTCCCACTTTTGATGGAGACACCACGGGGAACTATTTCTCTAATATAAGTAGAGCCACAGCACAAGCTCTGTGATGACACGGGGGTAGCTAGACCTTGAGCTCTCTGCCAGACAAGAGGACTTGGTGGGCACCATGGGGACCTGGAAGCCACAGCTCCATCTAAGGACAGCCTTGACACAGCTGCAACCAATTAAGGCCCTGTGTGAGCGAGCCAGGTGTTGCCCGATCTGATTTTTACAAGAGAAGCTGGGAGTCCCGAGTTTTATAGAAAATATCCCTATTTTCAGATGCTGGGTCAAAAAAACTTTTTTTTTAAATACCACAGCTGCTCCAGTAGCTTTTCACGGTGTGCAGGCCAGAGTCGGGGAGTGGAGGGTGGAGGTAAATCACCGCCCCACAGCTGTTTCCTCCACCTGGGCAGACGCTATGCATGTCTGAACTGTAGCCCCGCTCAGGCTGGGACCATTCTCTTTTGTCTCCCCCAGACCAACCTTTGTCTCCCCCAGCCTGGCGCGTAATGAATGCTGTTACGTGAGCAAGTGGTTACTCATTCTAGTCTAGCTTCCTGAGTGACCCCCAGTCCCTGTTTAGGGACAGTGAATCATCAGGGCCAGCACGGGGCAGAGCCAGCTAACCTCAGAGGCCCGAGTCCCTGCCCACGGGCTGGCTGATGCACTCCTCTGGCCAGGGAGAAAAGCCAGGCAGCCAGGGTCACGCTTTGTCTGCTCTTCTGTCTGTCTGTCTGTCTCCCCACTAGAACGAATGCCCCCTGAGCGCTGGTACGTGCACTGCCTTGGTCACCACGATACCTCCAGTACCTCAAAACGTGCCTAGCATGGAACAGCTGCTCAATAAATATTTGGAGGATGAAACTTAGAAAGAGGGAGGTAGAGAAATAAACCAAAAAGAGGCTGAAACTGACAGACAGAGGCTGGGAGAAGAGCATGCTCTCAGCAGCCAGGAAGGGACAGAACAGAAGATGGAAACAGTGAAATGCAGTCTCTCTGAGATACACAGAGATGGGTTACAGGTGTGGCTGTGACGAGGCAGTAACAAGGGCCAGCCAGCCAGGAGCAAGCGCGGGGGTGGTCCAGAGCAGTGAGATGCACAGACAGCAAGACAAAGGGGAGAGAGAGACAGTCCAAGACAGAACAGAGAGAGCAGGTCATTACCCAGAGCAGACGGCAGTGATAGGGAGAGACAGAGAGAGGGAAACACGGAGGGAGGTGAGACAGGAAGAGAGGTAAAGAGAGACAGAGAAACACAGAGAGATGGAGAGGGGAGAGATAACAAGAGAGATTAAAGAGAGAGAAAGCGAGAGGACAGACAGAGGAACAGAAAGAGAGAGAGACAGAGGGAGCACAGAGAGAGAACAAAAATAAAGAGATAGACAGGGAGAGACAGAAAGAGATACAGAGAGACTTCTTTTTTTTTTTTTTTGGCCAAGTCAACGTTTTATTTAAAAACACACAAACATGTACACAATGGTAACAACAGGAAAGGAGCCAAGATCTCCTATTTGGGGACAGGCTGACCGCATGGTGCTCCCATAGGCCTCACTTTAAGAAAGAAGGTACCTTCAAGACCAGATTTCCAAGAGAGATAAATTAGGAGGTGGCTGTGTTTTCACAAGAGGTGAGATAAAGAGAGATCGACAGAAAGAGAAACAGACATACCAAGAGATGGAGAGGAGAGACAGAAGGGGGGGTAGCTAGAGAGATGGAGAGAAGGTGGGTACAAAGAGGGAGAGAGAGACAAAGAGGGAGAGAGGGAGAGAGACAAAGAAAGAGAGGCATGTGAGACAGAAAGATCGCTGTGACACTGGAGAGTCACGTCCTTCTTGCCTGTTCAGCCTGGAGCACGTAGAAGTAGCCTCAAGGGGCAGTAGTGTCCATCCCTCCTTCCTCACAGCATCCTTTCCTCCAGAATGATAATACAGAAATGTGGCATGTCCTGCATGAAATTATTTTATGCACATTGCCTCATCTACGATGCCCAGCAATCCCACATGGTAGCCACTACCATCGTCCCCATTTTACAAATGAAGGAGCTGAGGCTCAGAGCGGTTAAGGAACCTGCACAAGGTCACACAGTGGGAAGTGGTAGGGCTGGGACTCCAGAGCATCAGGCACCAGGGGGTCCGTTCCCACAGTGGGACTGTTGACTCACAGTGGGGCACCCTGGAGAGTGCTGTGGCCCCCTCATGTAAGGCCTCTTTTTCTTTCTTTCTTTCTTTCTTTCTTTCTTTCTTTCTTCCTTCCTTCCTTTCTTTCTTTATGGCTTCTCTGGCTGCGGAGCACGGGCTCTAGGTGCACGGGCTTCAGTAGTTGTGACTCGTGGGCTCTAGAGCACAGGCTCAGTAGTTGTGGCGCTCAGGCTTAGTTGCTCCGTGGCATGTGGGATCTTCCTGGACCAGGGCTCGAACCCGTGTCCCCTGCATTGGCAGGTGGATTCTTAACCACTGTGCCACGAGGGAAGCCCCAGGCCTAACTCTTATGCACACCTGAAGCAAAGCTTGCTAGAGTGAGAGATGTAAGAAACAGAGCAACTGAAAATAAAATGTGAAGGAAAAAAAAAATGCAGACTTGTTCAGATACTGATCGTATCTAAAATAAACTACAGAATTACATTTTTTAGACGATTAGGGAAATCTGAACTTGGAATGAGATAATATCAAGAAATTATTAATTTTGTTCAGTATGATCATGGCATTGTGGATTCATAAGAAAATATCCATATTTCTAGAATGCACACGGAAACATGGAGGGCAGAGATGACATGATGTCTGAGATCTGCTTTAAAATGTTTCAGAAAAGAGATGAAGCAAGTGTGGCAAAATCTCGCTAACAGTTGATTCTGGGTGACGAGGAGTGGGGATTCCTTAAGGCCAGATCTTGAACTTGGCACTCAAGTTCCCACACTCCGTCCTTCCTGTGTGTGTGTCCACCACATGAACCACTCGTGCTCTGACCAGGGGCTCTACCCTGGTCTCCCCACCCCGCAAATTCCACCCACATAGAACCCTGCCTCTGCACCTTTGCATATGTTCCTTTCCCTCCAAAGACGCCATTTCCCTTTTCTAGCCAAATCTGTCTCAAATCCCCCTTGTCCCCAGATACTTCCTACACCTTTTCAGCCCAGGAGGCCTCTCCTTGGACCCTTTCCAGCACTGTTTTTTGTGTCACACATGGTCACCTTTATGGCCAGCTACCTCAGTCACTAGGTACAGTTTTCTGTAAGTGCAAGGCCTCCTCTCCATGAGCTCCTCCAGATGGAGGCTGTTTCTCAGGTATTTTAATGACTGTTTTGCTTTTTACTTCCCCCAGTGCCCTGCATGGCCCTCCAAGCTCCCTCATCTCAGCTCATTCAGGTCTCTGTCTAAACAAGGCCTCTTTTTTTTTTTTTTTTGAATATTTATTTGGCTGCACTGGGTCTTAGTTGCGGCATGTGGGATCTAGTTCCCTGACCAGGGATCGAACCCGGGCCCCATGCAGTGGGAGTGCAGAGTGTCAGCCCCCGAACCACCAGGGAAGTCCCGTGGCCTCTTCTTTTTGGCTGAAACTCATGGCTTGTACGATCTTATTTCCCCCACAAGGGACTGAACCTGGCCCCCAGGCCCCCAGCAGTGAAAGCCTCGAGTCCTAACCACTGGACTGCCAGGGAATTCCCAAAACATGGCCTCTTAGCGTCTTTCTTGACCACCCAACTAATACCACCTGCACTGGCCCCAGTCACGCTGTTCAGCCTCTTCATAACATTCACCTCTACTTGAAGTTATTTCTGCATTTGTTTATATTCTGCCTCGCCCCACCGAACAAAGGAAGGACCTTGTTTTTCTTGGTCACCTCTATATCCTGAGTGCCTAGAGAAAGCCCCAGGACAGGGCAAGGAGTTCAATCAATATTTTATGGAGTGAATGAGTAGATGTAGCTTTCCCAGCTAGACTGCAAGCTCCAGACGGCAGGGTTTGATTACTTCCTGGAGAGAGCCAGCACATGGCAATTGTTAAATAATGATTTACTGTATTGGGACTTCCCTGGTGGCACAGTGGTTAAGAATCCACCTGCCAACACAGGGGACACAGGTTCGATCCCTGGTCCAGGAAGATCCCACATGCCGCAGAGCAACTAAGCCCGTGTGCCACAACTACTGAGCCTGTGCTCTAGAGCCCGCAAGCCACAACTACTGAAGCCCATGCACAACAACTACTGAAGCCTGTGCACCTAGAGCCCGTGCTCCGCAACAGGAGAAGCCACTGCAATGAGAAGTCCGTGCGTTGCAACAAAGAGTAGCCCCCTCTCACCACAACTAGAGAAAGCCCAGGCACAGCAACGAAGACCCAA